CTGCTGAGTCACCTTACTGTCCCTTTTCCATTTTTTTCAAGACAGGATTTCTCTGTGTACCTTTGGAGTCTGTCCTGGAACTCGCTTTGTAGCCCAGGCTGGCCTTGAACTCAGAGATCCACCTGCCTCTACCTCCTGAGTGCTGGAATTAAAGGTGTGCATCACCACCACCTGGCCCCCTTTTCTATGTTTTAAAATTAATTTTTTTGTAAAGAATCTTATTGTTGGTCAATTGGTCTCTGTGTCCTGAACGGAAATGATCCTTCCACCTTAGAGTTACTTGAGTAGCTGGGACTACAGGTATGCACCACCACATCCAGCTAATTCAATGCCCTTTATATATAATTCTACTACTATACTCTCTTGTGCTTCCTTCTTAGCATATTTAATGTGGATAATGGTCTGGATGAGGTGAGTGTGAAGCTATTTTGGGTATATGTTAAGATAGACTTTATCTGGTAGAACAAATGAGTAAATATATCGATGCTGTCAGAAGCTAGAATTTTCACTGTGGAATGAGAAGGTGTGAAAGAACTGTGACACAAAATTATGGCTGAAGGTTTTAGCGTGAACTTGTGATTTCTTCTTCCTTCTTCTTCTTCCTCTTCCTCTTCGTCTTCTTCTTTTTCTTTCTCTGTAGCTTTGGAGCCTGTCCCGGAACTAGCTTTTGTAGACCAGGCTGGCCTCAAACTCACAAAGATCTGCCTGCTTCTGCCTCCCAAGTGCTGGGATTAATGGCATGGGCCACCACTGCCCGGCTTGAACTTGTGATTTCTTAATATATATGGGTATATATATTTCTAAGGCTTGTCCATTATAGGAGTCTAGAAATAGTGACCACATCTTTCACATAAATCTTAGTTTCTAAATACCATTCAATAAACAGAGAAACAAACAAATACCATTCTCTAGTAAAAGTCAAGGGCAATAAAGTTTATAATGTGGGCCTGGAGTATATTGTGGTGCTTAGAATAAAGTTATTGTAACAGGAAGGAGGCATGAGAGAATGTCCCAAACTTTCATGGCTCTTTTCTGAAAGGTTCAGTTGGATGGAGGATGCTCAAACTGTTCTAAAATGTGGTTTGGCGGCTCTTCTTGTGTTACTTTGCCATGTACACATAGACATGAAAGAAATCACAAGTTCACACCAAAAACTGCCTCATTAATTAATCTATCCCTTGTGAATATCCAACTCAATGATGCTCACCATAAAAGCTGAGCTACTGAGTCTGCCACTCCTGTTGGCCCACCAAATATCTCATCCCAGCTCTCAGAACATTTCTGTCTTTGGGAGACCACCTGAGCCGGGACCTTCATTTCTGCTGTTATCTCTGGTGTGATAGTGATCACATCTCGTACCTAGGACCAGGGCCCCAATCTGAGAGTCAGGAAGGGTTCTCAGGAACTTCTATTGAGCATGGAACAGGGAATGGATTATTGCTACTTGGGTGTACGTGTGGCTCAGCAGGGCACAGTGCCTATGGCAAATGTTCCAATCCCTGATGAGGGCCCCAAGAGTTTAGAGTCTGTTGGTATATGGAGGGCCATACCAAATTCAGGGCAAAGGGAGGGTCTGCATCCTGTGGTCACTCTATTTCCAGCAAGTTCCCAGCCTCCTCCTATGGCCCCCTTCCTATTGCTCATCCAAGCAGCATTTGTCATCTCTTGTCTTTCCTCCTCTTATCTGACATCCCTGTCTGACAGAGCTCCCAAAAGCTTAACACTGAATGAAAAAAGAAATAAAAGGAAAAGGTAACGAGCATGACTGCTCCTAGGTGTAGTGGAGGCGAAAGTTTATTGTAGACATGTGGGAGAGCATAGCCAGAGGCAGGGACATCTGGGGGAGTCCAGTGTGGACATGATCCTGACCCATGTGAAGATAGTGTCAAGGGGAAAGGGACCAAGAAGCCAGGAAGGTAAAGGCCAGACAAAAAGGTCAGGCAACCAAAATGATTAGATTATATATAGAAGAGCAGCCCAGCCTCCTGGGCTGGAGAAATTGAGCATAGGGGATGTGGAATGCCAGCCAGGAGGATCCTGGAATAGGTAGGGACTGAGAGATATGGGAGGACCTGGTGGCTGTGTCTGCTTTGATATGTTCAGTAGGCATCTCAGCCATTTGTTCTGGATCTGAGACCTAACAAACATTACCTATTTGTCTCCATTCCTTTGTACACACATCTTGAGGACTCCTTGGTCTGTCATAAAGGCAGTAACCGACATATTAAGAACTCCAGAGACAGGCTTCATCTTGTCCCTGTAGTGGCAGTACTGATGGTCTCTCCCTTCTGGAGGCCTGCTCTTGACTTGCACTTGGGACCACCTCCTGTCAATCAATGCCTTACCTCCGCTCCCTTCTAAACTCCTCTGGTTAGTGAAGCTGGCTCCTTGAAGTTGAGACCTCTCCTTTCTTCCTTAGCTCCTTTCTCAGGGCAGCCACCTCAGTCATCCATCCAGTATCTAAGACTCTCTGTGTAAAGAAAATTCCTGGCTATAGCAGTATGTTTATATGAGCCCAAAGAATAAAGCTAGACCTGGGTTCAAGTTATTGCTCATCTACTTACTACATTTGGCAGTCAGAAGAGAATGAAACGGGAAGTGCTCTGCATAGAAATACAATAGTTGACTATCGAAATGAGTCTTCCTGCTTTTCTGGATCAGCTTTTCCATTATAGGGCCCCCTTTGAGGGCTCTTCAGTCATCTCTATGTCCAATCTTATCTCCTGTCCCTGACCTCCCACATATAGCCACCCCAGCCTCCCAAGGCAATCAGTTGTCAATTGGACCCCTTCCTACACTTGTAAATTTTCTGTTTCAGGCATAGCCTGATTCCTGAGGAACCCTCTTGTTTTCTTGCTGTATAGGTAGCTGCTACACAGCAAAACCTGCCAACTGTACCATTAAATAAACTCATCTAAACACCACTGTCTCATCTCTGGCTAAGATGACCACTTTAAAGACTTCTAGTGCTCTGAATTGAGGAGCACTGGCTCAAGAGACTCGTGAACATGTCCATGTTTTGTTTCTACCTTTAGAAACTTGAAGAGTCTTTGGATGCAAGTCTCAGAAAACATTCCTTGTCTTGAGTCCTCATCCCTTCTTCCTCTACTATCTCCAAGGGAGTTGAGCCCTTTCTGGTTTAGTTATTTCCTGTAGTGGACAGTTGCCATCTGCATCCACCAGAATGAGGGACAGCTGGTACAGCTCACATGTGCCCAGGAAAGCAGACCAAGACCGGCTGAGTAGCTGTTAACAGATAATCAACAGCTCCTTTTCCCATATGCCCAGCCCAAGTAATTACACAGGATTCAGTTCTGACCAATAAGAGACAGCATTTATTTGCTGGGGCATCTGAGACAGAAGCTATGCTACAGAGAGAAAGTGCTCCTCACTGGCAGAGAATGAAGGGTTTTGATGAAGCTGCAGGCAGCCACCCTTTGATTCTTGGAAGTAGTAGTAAGGATGAAGTAGATCATGGAGAATTCAGAGGGAGGCAGGAAAAAAGCCGGTGAAATTGTTCATCCACTGCCAGTACTCCTGGGCTTTTTCAGTTTTATAAGTCATCATGTTTCCTGTGTTGTTAAACCAATTATCGGAAACCAAAAGCAGCCTAGTTTATTAATAGAGTTCATTTTGGTGAAAAGTCTTACATGCACCTTTAGTGTTATTTAATTTTTCAAATACGTTCCCTGACTCAAAGTGAACAAGGACATTGGTAAGCTTATTATCTGAGCTGCCAGTCCATATATGTGCTCACAAGCAGGTCCCTGATGTGATATCCCAAGTCTTAGGGAGGACCAGGGTCTATCAGCTGCTCATCCCCTCAGGCCTCACTTTAGTTTATCATTCCATTATGGGGACTCAAGATTTGTCCCAGGAGGCCCTTGGGCAAGAAAGGCAAGTGTAGCCCTGACAACATTCAGAGTGGCTTCCTTGGCAAGAGTGGAGGGGCAGGAGTAGTGTCCTGAAGGTGGCTATCTTTCAGCCTCAACTGCTCCCAGGGGGTCCTCCTCAAAGGAGCTAGTACTTACATGACCTTTAGCACCCAAGCATAAGTACAGTGAAAAGAAGAATCACTGTCTTCAGCTTACATCTCTATTTCCTCCTCAGCACCCTGAGTTTCTTCTTAAGCAATGAAGGTGTGCAAAGTAAAAGCCCCTGTACACAGGTGGCAGAGGAAGCATCCATCTCATGTTGTGAGTGAGAGCTGGGTGAGAAGATCAAGGCAGAGTCCTAGTTGTGACAATGCCTTGCCGAGTCACATGCTGTCCCTCATGGATGAGACCCACTTCCAGGAGGAGCCAAGCAGATAGGGTGACCCCAAGAAGAGCTATGTCATGAAGGCCCAGGATACTCCATCTGTGGCCCATGCTTGGCTTCAGTTTGCTTACTGAACACAAGGTGGAACTATGCAGGTGATGAGAGCAGAGACTCCCACTTTGAGCTGGCAAAGGGGGAAGGAAACTTATTCAGGTCAGATGAGTGGCCATCATTGAACAGATTCAATGCTTGGGGACCAAAGTGGCACAGAAACTTGACTCAAGTCATACAACAGAGCTGGGGTATCTTTCTGATCCTCCAGCTCCTAACTGTGTCATATATCAAAAGCACACTGGCTGCTGCAGCAGAGGGGCCCTGGATGGCTACCACTTGGCTTCCTATGGAGATTTGCCAAGGGCTATGCCAGATACACTAGAGGGCAAGTGACAGGGACTAGTGGCTTCCTGAGGGAGTTATTTGAGGATGTATGCTGAGTGGGCTAAATGGGAATGGTAAGGCCCATCCCTCAAAACAGCATACTCTTTCTCCTACAGAGGCACTTCTAAGACTGGCTAGACTTGGACTCTGGCTGTCCCAAGCCATTGCTAGGTGTCTCTACAGTGCAGCCTCAACTGTCCTGTGGGAGGCAGAAGAGAATTCAGGCCAAGTACTTTGAGTAGTGCCTAGCACCTAGCAAGAGCTGGGTACATACCAGCTATTATTATCACTATGAGCCAAACTGCGACATGAGAACACATTTAATGCAACATGCAGCTGTGGCTTGACCTGGAATTTCTCCCCCCAATCCCAGAATGCTATTTGGAGAACCCCTTTTCCATAGCCTCAGTTACTTCAGGGTGTAGAAAGCGGCTGGCCAAACGTTCGATGTCATCCAGTGTTAGGCGGCTCAGGGACCTGTCATAATCCTGAGGAGAGAAGAGCAGGTGGGTTCAGGGAGCGCCAGTTGAAAAGAGTATGCTAGAACAGGAGAAGCATTAAGACTGGAGGTCCAGCATTACTCTCCTCACCCTCTGTAGTTGTTCCAGGACCCTGCTGGCATCTGCTACACTGAAGTGACGGGCCAGGACTTTGGAGATCAGCTGCCAGAGGGGTGGGGGTGGGGAGTCGACCAGTCTGTGGGCAGACCCTTCTTCTAGTAGCACCTTCTCCAAAGGTTTAACGACTAGGTTGAGCTTAGAATTGGGCCCGATGTTGTAATCTGACAGTCGTTTCTCATCTGCCAAAGAGAGATTGGTGGGGTTCCTTCCTCACTGCTGTGGGGGTGGCCAGAGAGCAATCTTGCCACAGCCAGCCAGAGTGAAGCACTACTGCATATCTGGCTATGGGGTGGTGGGGTGGTGGTGGCTCAATTACTTTTCTGAGGTCCAATGGCAGCCAGTGCCCTAATTCATTACACTGGCTTGTACATCCCGTCCCCCAGCTTCCAACTTCCTGTGGGGGTCCCTGGATGGTTTCTTTCCCTAGTTACCTGCTAGGGCCTTGCCCTTGAACAGCAGACGTTGCTGGCGCACAGGGACGTTCAGCTTATCCGAGACCAGGTGCTTCAGTGTAGACACTAGCTCGTCCTCCGGCACCTGACCGGGCCGAGGTGGAGAGACAAGGGTTTAGCCCGAATTCCCTGGTGACGAAGCCCTTGTGCCCCCTCCTGAGGTCAGCTCTCCCGACCTCCCCCGCCTGAGAGTGTGTGAGTGCAGCAGCCTGCAGGGGTGACCTTACCTGTAGGCTGCACTCCCGACCCTGGAGCGCCTTCACAGTCAGCTGCATGGTGTCCACAGCCGCGTCCACTAGGGCCAATGCCAACCCCAACGGTTCCCTGCCGCGCGCCGCCGCCCCGGGCGCGCGCCGGAACCGCCCGCCGGAAGTGTGACTGGAAGAGGGTCAACTCACTGG